TGGAATAGCTATAAGCCCCTTTTATCTAATTCAGTTATTTCTCTTTTGCTTAAATAATGTATAGGAAGGTAATAGGGTCATGGCCTAAAAACACTTTTATACGTAGTGATTTGAAAGGTTACCATCATTGTCCATCTTCCAAAGCATACCCTCATTCATCACAAAGAGGCTTTCTGTAGAAGCTGTTTGGTATTTGCACACTAAAGTAAACTGCTGTTTGCCTTAAAAATTAGAGGTAAAGAGGTCTAAATTATGTCAAAATAAAAAAAAGGAATTGCAATGTAGCTCACAAAAAACCAAATTCAGCAGACTAAACAGCTGTTTTGTTCTAAGAACACCACATATGATGTTAAAGGGGCTCAGACTTGCAGTAATGTTTTCAAACTCAGTATGTTTATCTTTGACATAATGAAAATGTGTGAGGACATTTTAACCCAAATTGCTAAATTCTTTCTTATATAGCACCTATTGCTCAGTTCATTGTTAAGTGACAGATTGATTCACCTAAATTAATATGAATTAAAGACAGAATATGACCAACAACAATAAAGACAACTTTAAAGAACCTTGTGGAATATGTGCTGACCTCTTAAACATTTTTTTGTCAAATTTCATGTTGTTATGACTCCAAACTTTATAATTTAGGTGACCAACCACCACACGATAGGACACAATTGTGTGGCTAAAGAGAAAGAATACATATATTGATTATTGACAATAAAAAGAAAAGCTAGCAACATTTTTACTATTTATTTTAAAAATTGCAGTCAGATTAAAAGTCAGCTCTATGTTAACTTTTTTCAATATGCCTATAGTTGTTTTTATCTTATCTATTTTAACTGTGACTAGACCACTTTCCTTTAAAAAAGTGATATAAACCATTTCATGGCAGATCAGGCTATATACTGTATTTATAGTTGCTGCCACAATATAAACTTCTGCTTCAGTCTTTAGTGGCAGCACTCAGAAAGTTTTAAAAACTTTGCAGTTTGCTGTTACCTTTCATCAACTTCTCCGTTCTGGCAGAAACAGAACAGAGAAACAGAAACATCCCCACAGCATGGCGCTACCACCATTATGTTTCACTTTGGAACAGCCACACAAGGGTTTGCAAAGTAAATCTTCAGTTTGGGTCGCATCTGACCAGAACACCTTGAGCATTTTTGCTCTGTCACCCGTAAGGCTTAACCTTAGGCCTCTCTGCTGCTTCTGTGATTAATTATCCCATCACTTGGTGTGTCAGTGCAGGTTTATAAGGTATATGAGAATTTGGGCAAAACTTTCTGTGTTTTTGGAGGATGGATTAAACAGTGTTTGGTACCATTTTTTAAGCCCAGAATATTGTTTTATAATCCAATTCAGCAGTAAGTTTTCTTACAATGTTATCCTCCACAATTCTGCAGTTAGCTCACTAACTGCCTCTAACAAAAAGCTTCACAAAACCGCTGGATTTAAGGTACAATTAATCTAATCACAAAACGTATAGGGTCCTCTAAAATCAGGGATTTTCTATAAGTGTAAAACAGAATTTTCATATCTTTTATTTATGTATTTTCATTTTTTCGAGGTGGGGGGCATCATGTTCTTTCCAGTGTGCAATTCTGTACTGCTTTCATGTATCCACCAGTAAATACTCTACATAAAAATGTTTTGTAAGATGGGGGGAGTACATAGGAAGGCCTTACGTGAACATATCACCTGAATGATTGAAAATTAGGGGGACCACTTATTTAGATTATCCACCTGGAAATAAAAGATCATCCTCTGTACCTTTAAGCATGGCATCTTTCGAGTGAAGATGACGTCGCTGGGAACACCAGACTGTATTTCACCTCCATCTACTTTTCTCCTTTGATATCTGCAGCATTTTTTCCTGAGCCGTTTAGTGTAAAAACCGTTTCAGGGTGGTTTGTTCATATCTGTTCTGGGTTCTAATGATTGATGGGCCCACTCCACTCACTAAACCAAGCATCCCCAAACTCAGTCCTCAAGGCCCCCTGACCTGCAGGTTTTAGAGGTTTCTCTGCTTTAGCACAGCTGATTATAATGATTGCAGTAGACCAAAAGCCTTTTAATCAGCTTTCAATTAAATTCAGCTGTGCTGGAGCAAGGAAACCTCTAACACCTGCAGGACAGGGGGCCTTGAGGACCGAGTTTGGGAATGCCTGCCCTAAACAATTACCTTCTCCACATATTGACGCATCTTCCCTCTTTCTTCTTTGCCTTCTTTCGGCACATTTTCCCTCCGACTCCGGGTCCTCCACCCATTCCCAGAGTGTTGCTAATTTCTTGTTAAATTTTTCTCTAAATTTTTCCATTTCAACACTTGCATCTTCAATGTAGGACACTCTGTGTTCCACCTTGTTTAGTCATGCTTGCACGTATTAGCCTTGCCATCAGCATGTTAATTTTCAGTACAGCTTTGCTGTTATTTAACATGTCTTTGAGAAATTACTTATATCTGGCTCCTTAGGATTATTTTATAGTATGACATATCACAGATATTCAGACCTTGAGAAATTAAGAGATGTACACTGCCTGGCCAAAAAAAAAGTCGCCACCTGGATTCAACAAACAAATAGGTGCGAGCCTCCTATTGGATAATTACTGCATGGGCAATTATCTTTCAGCTGGCAACAAGTTATTTAACCCCAACTGATGCAATGACTTGCTTCTCATTTCCTAAACAACCATGTTGAAAGACACATCTTTTGGTCGTGGAAAAGATGTTAGTCTGTTTGAGAAGGGTCAAATCATTGGCATGCATCAAGCAGAGAAAACATTTAAAGAGATTGCAGAAACTACTTAAATTGGGTTAAGAACTGTCCAACGCATTATTAAAAACTGGAAGGATAGTGGGGACCCATCATCTTCAAGGAAGAAATGTGGCCGGAAAAAAATCCTGAATGATCGTGATCGGCGATCACTTAAACGTTTGGTGAGATCAAATCGAAGAAAAACAACAGTAGAACTCAGGGCTGTGTTTAATACTGAAAGTAAGAGCATTTCCACACGCACAATGCGAAGGGAACTCAAGGGATTGGGACTGAACAGCTCACTAATCAGTGACGATAACCGAAAAAAAAGCCTTCAATTTGCTAGGGAGCATAAAGATTGGACTGTGGAGCAATGGAAGAAGGTCATGTGGTCTGATGAGTCCAGATTTACCCTGTTCCAGAGTGATGGGCCAATCAGGGTAAGAAGAGAGGCAGGTGAAGTGATGCACCCACCATGCCTAGTGCCTACTGTACAAGCCTGTGTGGGCGGTGTTATGATCTGGGGTTGCTTCAGTTGGTCAGGTCTAGGTTCAGCAACAGTATGTGCTCAAAGAATGAGGTCAACTGACTACCTGAATATACTGAATGACCAGGTTATTCCATCAATGGACTTTTTCTTCCCTGATGGCACAGGCATATTCCAAGATGACAATGCCAGGATTCATCGGGCTCAAATTGTGAAAGACTGGTTCAGGGAGCATGACTCATCATTTTCACACATGGATTGGCCACCACAGAGTCCAGACCTCAACCCCATTGAGAATCTTTGGGATGTGCTAGAGAGGGCTTTGCGCAGCGGTCAGACTCTACCATCATCAATGCAAGATCTTGGTGAAAAATTAATGCAACACTGGATGGAAATAAATCTTTTGACATTGCAGAAGCTTATCGAAACAATGCCACAGCGAATGCGTGCCGTAATCAAAGCTAAAGGCGGTCCAACAAAGTATTAGAGTGAGTGACCTTTTTTTTGGTGGCCACTTTCTTTTTGGCCAGGCAGTGTATATTCCAAATATATGTGAATAAAAAAGTTGTTGGCTCCAGGGGCTTTCGTAGTGTGCTGCTTTCTTCCTCGATGGCCCTACGTGATTCTCCCTGTGTTGTTATTTTCTTTTATCATTCTTGATGTAAAATGGATTTATAGGCCATGCACATTACCTAAAGATGCCATTTGTGGTGCTTGGTGCTATATGCATAAAAAGCTAAATAACCCAAACTTGAACAGCATTAATAATACCAATCACAGTTGCTCTATACAATAGATGCATTATGATATGATGTATATAATATAAATGTCAAAACAAATGTCAACAAATCCACAGCTGTCTGGTTATAATGATTTTATTAAGGCTTAATGAATACATAGCTTCATGAATAAACAGCATATAACCATAAGAAATCCCTCTGGATACATTTCAAACCCACCACAAAGACCAATCAGAGATAAACCATCAACCCTGGCTGAAATAAATAATCAGCCCTTCCCAAAACTTGCAAGTGGCTGTGATGGCACTTCCAAAAAACATAGATGTAGTGCAAGGAAAACTGCATAGGCATAAGAAAATAAATACAGAATGCAGTTTGGAACTTTAAGTACAGAAGAAGCCCTGGTTGGTACAGTTTTAATCTCAAGGGGAGAAAGAGAACAGCATGTAGACCATTAAAGTAATGAGTACAGATGGTGTTTAGGGCAGTAATTTAGGAATGTTTACTGCTGCATTCTTGAAACCATTACACCAAACTCCTGAATGGATATTTCTTTATTTATGTACTGCTGATACTGGCGTTGTGTTATGTGCCCAGAATGCAGTGCGTCATCAATGGAGAACTTCTTTCCTGATTTTCTGTCATGAAGAACACACGATCCGCCACTCGGGCCTTTAACTGTAATCTCTTCCCAATCACACTCTTGACTCTGGAGGTTAACAAACATCTTCCAGTCGATCAACCCTAGACGGTATGCCTCTTCAGGTCGCATCTCTCTTCCTGTATCAGGGTCAATAACAACAATGGATCTCTGGAGGTGACTCTCCCTTTGCTCCCTTTTCATTCTCACTGCTGCTAGGTTCTTCTTCAGTTTTTCAATTTCTTCATCTTTCTGGGTTGTTATGCTTTTTAGATCTGCTAGCTCTCTTTGTAGCGAGTCAAGCCTCAACTCAAAGTTCCTGCCATCCTCTGTTGGTGCAGACTCGGTGATAAGTCGAGTCTCTTTGCAGGTGATATCAATCTCTGACCGAAGTTTACGAATCTCGTTCTGCAGCCTTTGGTTTTCTTGCTGGAGGCGGTGACTTTCATCACGGATGTAGTCCAGCTCTTTAGTAGACTTTGTGTTAGTAAATTCCATATCAGAGAGCTTGGAAGTGAGGATAGACAGCTCCTGGTCAAGATCACGCCTTCTCCTTTTCTCCTCTTCCAAAGTTCTCCTAAGGTTCTCAATCTCCAGCTCAGCTTCGGGGTCTCGCTCCACTTGGACTTTCTCGGTGCGGACAACTTTTTCCTTGACATCCATCTTCTCCAGGGTGAGTTGCTGCTGAATGAGGATATTCAATTCTTTCTCGAGCAGGGTGCGCTTGTGGCGCTCTTCATCAAGCTGCAGTTTAAGAATGGAATGCTCCTTCTCCTGCTGTGGATCCTGCTGCAGTACAACCTTCTGTTTGACTGTCACCTTTTCACGGTTCTCTTTGTCCCGGATCTCCAGCTCATTAAGTCTGACACGAAGTCTTTGGATCTCAAGCTCTGCTTCACGTCTTGCCCTGCGCTCACGCTCCAGTTCCTCCAGTTGCAGGTCCAGGTCAGCAATCTGTCTCTGCAGCTGAAACAGCTCTGATTTAAGGTTTTCCTTTTGCTTTTGCTCGCTGTTAATGCTTTGCAGGAAAGTGTCACATTCTGACTTAAGTACAGGATCTTCTTCCATCTTCACAACTTCTTGATGAACAATCTTCTCTCGTACCTGAGACAGATCAATCTTCTTCAGTCTAATCTTCTCTTCCTGAGCTGATCGTTCTCTCTCAAGATCAAGACGTTTCTTCTGCTCATCAGCCAACTTTCTTTTCAAAGTTTCGATCTCTTCTTTAGTCTTGGGATCTTCTCGATACTGCAACACTTCATTGACCACCTCTTTAGTCTGTATTTGTGGTTTAGTTGCCTTCCACCTTTCAATCTCATCCCGGAGTTGACGGATTTCCATTTCAGATTTCTCTGTCAGGTGAGTTTTATCGACTATTTCATTGCGAAGTCTCTCCAGCTCTCTTTCTGTCTGTGGATCTGTCTTGTATTTGATTACTTCCTTGATGATCTCTTTGACTTCCACTTGAGGCCCTCTGTTCTTTAGCATAGTAAGTTCATCTTGTAGGGATTTCAGTTGGAGCTCAGCATCTCTGTAGCGCCTCTGTTGTTCTACAACTTCAAGACGGAGGTTGGCCACCTCGTTTTCTGCCTTAGGGTCTGGGCGGACAATCTCACGCATCTTTTCCTGGACCACAACCTTAGACTTCTCTTCTTCCAGGCTCTGAATTTTCCTTTGAAGGTCTGTCTTCTCCCGCTGCGATGACCTCCGTTTTGCCTTCTCATCTTCATACTGTCTTCTGAGGTTTTCTACCTCTCTTTCAAAGACAACATCTTTTTCCACTTTTAGCACCTCCTTGATGGAAATCGTCTCCTCAGCAACTGCTTTCTCCTTTTCTAGTCTTCTGAGCTTCTCTTGGAGGAACTGTAATTCATCCTCCAGCTGCTTTCTGTTTTCTATTTCTTTCTGTTTTCTGTCGCGGAGGAGTCGGTACTCTGACTCAAGTTGGGGGTCATTCTGGACCTTGACTATTTCCTCCTCCGTGATCACTTCCTGTTCCTTGTTTTTCTCCTGTGCTAGTAGGGTAACCTGCTTTTTGATCTGAATCAGCTCATTGTCTTTCAACATCTTTTGCCTTCTCAACTCATCTAGCTCATCACGCAGGTTGCGAACCTCCTCCTCTTGACCGCGGTCTCTTTCAATACGCAACACCTCTTTGACTGTGTACTGCTGTGCTCCTTCTTTGACCTCCGTTTCCAAGCCACGTAGTTTTAGCTTGAGTACCTCTAGGTCATTCTCCAGCACATGGGTGGAACGGCGCTCCTCTGAGAGCTTCTGTTGGACCTTATGTACTTCCTCATCTAATTGGGGGTCTGGGACCTTTTTAATGAGCTCCTTCTTAACTATTGTATCTTGGGGCTTTTGTCCTTCCAGGAGGTAAATATCAGTTTGAATGGTCTCAATTTCTTTTTCTAGCTGTTCTCTCCTGTGGATCTCATCTTCCAGCTGCTTTTTGATACGCCATGGCTCCTCTCCTGGTGCGGCAGCATTTACCGACCGTAGACTGGTAGACTGGATGAGAGGAATATCTGGTTGCTGCACAGAGAGATCGATATTCATTATTTCAGTTATTGTTTATTGTTGTTTAAGACGTACCATCAATATTATTGTACAATTGTTTCACCTGGCTCAGAAGGCTTTGTGCAAACTCGAGATTCTGCAGCCTTTGCTTGTTGACAGCATTAACCTCTGTGAACTTTGCTTCAATAGCAGCTTCCTACAAACAGAGACATACAAATTCAAACAAAGTACACAAAGGATTTAAAGTAATACAAAACATTTATTTTAACTGTAAAACTGTTGCAACAGTACTGATTCAGTACTATCCCCTTAAGCCCGACCATACCGGTACCAGGCCGTGAGAGGCGGGGCTTCGTCCTTTTTTAAGGTTATTTAAAAAAAAATTCGTCTTTTTTTTCTTTCTTAATCCTTCTAAACAAATGGGACTTTAATGTTTCTAAAACGTTGTTTTTTGATGGCTTTTTTTTGGTTTTGGTTTTACAGAACTTTTAACAAAGGATATGCCGTTTACCTGTCAATTAGAAATGTACTTTCTTAGAAAAATGTTTCCTCCGCCGAATCTGCTAAGGCTATTATCACTGGAAACCAGAGACTCTAGCCTTTTCAACAAGTCTTTTTCCAAGGTCTCCAGACGACTACATTTCCACACATATCAGAGAATATAAAAGACCTGATCACAACA